ATGACAGACATGCTGAAGATGTTGTTTGGCGACGTTCTCTGTTCTTCGCTCGTGTTGGAAAATTTGCACGCTGTTTACCTGGTTCTTGATGAGGTTTGCGATCGTGGGTGAGTGTGTATATCGCCTTTCCGAAATAGGTGTTTTCCAGTTTTGAATGCTCGAGTTTAATTCATAAAATGTTGCCAGTATCTTGCTTACCTTTTCAGAGTCATTCAGAGAAATAGTAATGCACCATCATTATATGGCAAAAATTAAGCGAGCTCATTTTAAAAAATTGATTTAAAGGGGAAACTATGAGTTACAAAAAACTTTTGCAGCCTTCGCATTTTTCGCAAATTTTATAGGCTGTCTATAGTGCTGCTATTCAAATTTTGAAAATTTGCGGAATATGACCGTGATTCCCAGGAAATAATTCCAGTTCTTGAAATTTTTAATTTTATTGGGTCTGAATTTGAGGGTTTGGCTAAATAGTTCAATTGATTCCGAGAAATTGAAAAAACCGGAACTGCGATTTTAAAATTCTTCAGTTAATATCATAAAGCGGGGTTTCTATTTGTGAACTGTTATACAGTATCATCTCTCACTGTGGTTTGAATGATTCTGGATTTTTGAAAGATATTCTCCCGAGAAATAATTTTAACAAACAGTGACAAACTGCTGAGTGCTGATGCATCAGCCATAAATTTTGTTTCATTTTTTACAGAATTCTTTTGGAGCCCAGTGCAAAAGTGATTCTCGACCGAATGAAGGAAGGAACTGAACCCACGATTTCAGAAGATTTGACAGTTGGCGAGGTTTGTGTTCAAAATTGAAATTTTTTAATGAAGGTACAATATATAGAATTTTAGCGATGCTCATTGTACGTCACTTTTACCATATCAACAGTTGATAACTCTTGGACAAAGGCGACTAAAGGCCCTCATCAAATGATGCGATTGTTGTTATCAACACTGAACTGAGTCATCCATGAATTTCAAGTTATGTTCGGAAATTTGTTTTGTTTTGCGAAATGCTACGGTTTTTCAAACCTGTTATTTTGCTGGTTTCCCGTCCTTGAAAAATTTACTTCACGAATTGATCCTGTATTTTTTGGCACAGATACTGTAGTGTTTTTCTCTGTGACTGATCTTGCTTGGAATCCCCAAGAAAAATGGACAGAAAAGAATTGACCAAAAAAATGGGGGTTTGAAAGTCGTGCGTCTTTTGAGGTCATCAAAATTTTTGTTTCGAAACCCTCGAAGTCACTGTGTGAGTGTGTGTTGATGAAAAAGACATTAAAAATTTTATGAAATGCTGTGGATTTCCT